CACACACACACACACACACACACACACACACACACACACACACACACATACACACACACACACAAACAGACCCTCCCACCCCCACCAGACTCCCGGACCCCATCTGCACTCTCCTCTCTCCAGCCCCCTAATTGCATATGCACAAATGCAAATGCCTATTAATTAATTACTTGACTAATTAGTGCAGTGGTATTTTAGAGCGATAAATCAAGTGGAGATGGGGCCGAGGACGGCGGGGCAGGAGGAGGGCTGCGCGGAGCATCGACAATGATCCTACACCAGAGGGAGTGCTCCTATTGTACAAGTCCTGTGTGTGACTGGGAGTGTGCTGTGAAAAGGGTGACTGCACCCTGGAGCATCTGAAGTGAAGCGCCGTTTAAAAATGCTTAAGAGCCTGAAGAGGTGACTGAGTGAGGTGAGTACTCTCTGTCTGAGAGGGGAAGCAAGAAAGGAAGAGAGAGGAGAATACATTTAGGTTGCTTATAAGATATATGACCTCTGCTCTACCAACTGTGTTGTTTCTTGGCATGTGGCCAAGCTTGGATGCTCGTTGCACCTATTTTCACCGGGGAGAAACCATCAGCTACATATATGACTGCTCCTACTGATGCATATTTATACTGATATTGTAAATCTTGTAGTTCATTGAGCATAACAGTTGGCATCATTTACGCAGTGATACTGATGTGATAATTGTGGCATCTGTGATTGGGAGGTGAATAATTCTGGCAGCCGTGGTAAGTTGTGTATCTGTATGTGTGTGAGTGGGTGTCTGTGTGTGTGTGCCTGTAGGTGTGCCAGGCCCCCACCATAGGTACCCATGGAGATCTCCGGACTAAAATATTCATTCTTGTTTGCTCGCCCAGACAGTGTGGTCCTAATTGCAGCATCAGAAAACTCCACCTCTCCCTCTCGTCTGTCTTGGCTGCTGTGGAGACAAACCTCATCTGGGAGCAAGATGCCTGTGTAAGTATGTGTGTGTGCGTGTACACATCCTCCTACTACATCATTCTTTCTAGGGAGTGGAACCGGGGTTGGTAGATTTGTGCGTGCCTCGCTCTTCCCACACTTTCTCACTCATTCACAAACACACCAAAGCACATTTCCAAGGAGCGGTTCATGTCGTTAGTCTGTCAAATTCATTCATCTAATTTGCCTGTATGTCGCATTTTCCATGTATTTCCAGCTTGCCTTCATGCCTCATTCACTCTGCTTGTGTTAGAGTTGGGTTGACTATTGATCTCTTTGTCAACGTGTCTGTCTGTCGATCTGTCGGTCCAGGGTGTGTGTGAAGCTCTGGAGTTTTTCATCAGTTCCCGTGCCAACCCAACCCGTGCCTGGCCAAGCTGAACCATCTTGTGGGATTTTTGGCTTTTAATTATAGTAAGAGAGGATTAATTATGGCAGTGGAAACAAGGGGCCATGCATTATTGATGGTATGAGTGAAGGGCTGGAGGGGGTAGAGGGTGCTAATTAAATCACTGCCCCACTGCCACGTCCTCCTCTGTCTCTGCCTCCACCATGTCTTCCACCTGCTACATCTACAACATCCCACCCTACTTTACTGCTCACACCCACCCACACATATATTGTCACTCAAACACTGATACCTCTGTTGTCATTCTTCATGTTGTTTTTCTGTCTGGTGTTTTATATTTTATTTTTTTTAACCTAGGTTTGCCTCACTAAAATCTCCAACTAAAAGTTTGTAAATAAAGATCCTCACCTTTCCACTAATCGCAAGCCTAATAAGTGTTTCCTTCATCTTCTTGGGTACCAGAAGCTTTTCTCTCTATCTCCATAGTGTCTTGATTTGCATGCTGCCACATCCTCTTGATAGTGATTGGTACATCTATTCAATGCCCCTCAGTAGTGACATGTTTTAAATTTGCTTCCATCCTAAATGAGCATCTCGGTTTCAATTTCAAACCCCATTAGGAAAGCTCCTTCCCTGCAGTCAACATGGGATGAGCCTCTTTAAGAGCCAAATGTAACAAAAGGCTGCCACCTACTGGAATGTATTCATAATCATCCCCTTTTATTATTTCCATACAACCAGTCACCAGTTATAAGGTTAGTGTATTGGCAGTACTTACACTTAATGAAAAATGTCACTTAATTTTGAATTGCCAGAACTCTGTTTAAGATTAAACTGGCTAAAATAAAAAGTACCAAATAAAATACAGAAATTTAAGTAAAATGTTGAAAAGTAATGCATTCTTATTTTTCTTGTACTCTAACAAAGAAAGGCAGAAACTCTGTGGAGACAGGTTTTATAGCTCTTGCTCTACTGACTGTGACATGGCACAAGATGCCGCTGTGACACACTAAATTACAAATTACACCTGTTTTTACCCTGCTAAGACATGTCAAAATGGCCGCTGCAACGGCCTATTAGATCCACACAATGTCTTCCGGTGGTCTTTAGACCCTAGTTTGGGAACCACAATTTGACTTTCTGTTTAACTTTCCACATTGATTCTACAAACTAGTCTTCTTGTTTCTCTTATTTATTTTGTTATGTCTCTGTTTCCTGTGATTCTCTCTCTAAATTGTTAATGTCCCTTCATGCGCTGTGTTGTCCCAACACATTCCAGGTGGATACTGGTTCCCTCACGTCTGACACTGCAATGATAACAAGCTGGGGAGGTAATCCTCTGTCTATCCATTTGTTTTTCTGACATACTTTCATGTGCAGTGCTCAGCGCATCATTTCGGGCCAGGACTTCCACAGAAGGGACTATAGTGGTTGAAGAGACCCTCCTTCATTATCAATCAAAAATGTTAAATAAAAACCCACAACAACAGGAGGATCAATAAAATGTGAGTTTTAAGAAGTAACAAAATGTCTGTAGCTGTGTCTGACCTCTGGATGGGAACGCAGAGAACAAAATATAATATAATATCGTGATCCTTAACGTGGTATTGTAAATTGTAATTATACCAACCGGACAGCAGATGGTGTACATGCATCCTTCATCACCGACACATTGCTACACAGCTAAAGCTGATATTGAAACTGCCTGGCAGTGCAGATATATATGACCATGACTGTTCATGCGAGCAGTACCTGTTCATTGTGAGATGGTATGTTATATAACTGGATTGGGGGGGGGGGGGGGGTCAAGTGTTGAATGACAGGCCGTGCCTCTCTTTGCCCCTTACCAGAATTACCAGGACACCTGCTATGATGGTACAAAGCCTCCCTGTGATCCTGATTAATGGAATATTTGACCTTTTACAGGGATGTTTGTCCCTCAAATCCCCTGTGATTGTATCAGCTTATTACTGCTGGAGCACCTGGCAGGTAGAGATAGCATGAAAGAGAGGGGATCGGGAGTGGACCCGAGTAATAATGTTTGTTATATTATTATCTTCCTTTGTTATTTCCGCTGCTTGTTCCTTTTTTATTTTATTTTATTTTTTGCTACATTCAGAATGCATACCCAGAATGCATTTGGTCTTTATAGCAGGTCAGGTATCACAGGGCGCCTAAAAGGCCTGTCAATCACTTTCATAACAGGGAGGTTTTTGTTAGCTCTTGCTCCACCGACTGTCACATGGCACAAGATGCCGCGTTTATGAGTAGATAGAATTACACACTTTTTCCGAATCTGTCTTTGGAGCTGAATTGGAGTGTCTCCAGTGTAGTGTGTGTGTGTGTGTGTGTGTGTGTGTGTGTGTGTGTGTGTGTGTGCACATGGCACACATTTTGTACAGCATGTCCCTGCTTTCTGCGGGAGTTATTATCACGCTTGGAGTTCTCAGGCTGCAAGTGTGATCCATCTTTCGGAGGTTTTTCCTCTGGTTCTGCCAGCACAGTGATTTAATGGCATGCCTGACACAAGATGTATAAACACGAGGAAGTGTAATAAAAATAGAAGCAGACACATGTGGGCCTGTACATATAAAGATGGGTTTAACCAGTGTCTGTAAATATAGTAAGTGACATATCAGGCATAATTAGAGGTACAAACAAATACAGACTCTCCCAGGGGTATTCAACGTCATAAACTTTGTAGAGAGGCTAGCTAGCGGTGGTTACATAACAACAAACACATACCAGATTAAACATTAACAAATGAATATAAAGTGGCAGCTTCAGGACATTGGAAATATGAAGATCAGCTGAGGTAACACAGAACATAAAAGTTGTTTCTTTGAGGTGATTTTCTGTGTTAATCCATTTAGGCACACATGAGTTTGTGAGGAATATCCATTTGGTTTCCAATTAGAGCAATTTGCTCAACTTGTCAGTGTGTCAGCAATGTGGAGTAATTTTGTTAATATGACAGACGGCCTGAGGAATTTACAACGCCTGGCTGCTCTGACGCTCTTGTATTCATAGATTTACAAGCTTACCTGACAATTTGTCTCTCTTGTAATCCATACAGCAGAGGGGGAGGCTGCTCCTGTTTGTGGTGCAACACTTGTTTTCATATTGCTTTGATATAACACACAACACAAAGCCAAACAGCTTCACATGTTAATCCAACCTAACCTCAACCGCTCGTGTGGAGCTCTAGATGATGAGCTGAGAGCAGAGAGCCACCAAGAGTACATATTGTTGGATTTGTCCAAGAACAGAATGTCGTTAGAATGAGACAAAAACGGCTTCCTGGTGCTCTAATCCAGACAGTATATATTATGATGTCTTCACATGATTACTTGGTTTAAGTATTTTCTTATCTGCAAACAACAGTGTTAACGTCATGTTTATAGTAGCATGCTCTTTTCTGACCAATTGTAATTACGTCTTGTGATTTTATCCACATTTTCTTTTTTGTAATCATGTTATTAATTGATTTACCATTTTTCTCTATGTAAACATCTTTCTATTTATTTGCAGTTGCTTTCTTCACTAAATCCACAAACCAAGGCTGAGAGACACATTTTATTTTGCCAGAGAATTGTGATTATTTTCGGAGATTAAATGCCTCATTTTATATTGGAGCCTCAGATCAAAGCCGCTCCTCCTGTGCCAGACTTGCACTTGCTTGTTTAGTCTGTGTTTGACTATTTTCTTGTTCTTTCCAGTTTTGTCTTGGCTTCTTCTCCCATGGTTTACTCATTGGGGTTGTACAGCAAACTTCTGCAATACAGAATAGAGAAGTATGCAGAAATGTTTTCTATGTGCCTAAAGCAGACATTACACAGAAGCCATACACAGTTCAGCGTTACCAATAAAATATTTTATTAATATTTGGAAAAAGGAATTCTGCAGTAAAAGAGATGACACAAAGGATTACTTTAAAGTTAGCACCTGTATATCATGTTTAACTTATCACCTTGCTGCAATGAAAGTACAAGTATATTTCTCAGTTTATTAGGTAATTATTTGAAAATTACTTTATCACTGGTTTCATTGAATTCTGGACTTGTAGTGAGCCGGTTTCTTAAACAAAGCCTTTTACACATTCCTCATGATTTGTTGTTCGCAATTCTTGCTGAGGTTATGCAACTACTCTGGCAAAAACAAAATCTAGTGTCAGCAGGTGACTAATAAAAGGTTTAATTTCTTCAGACACATTTAGCAGCCACTTACACAGTCTGTATTTTGTCTAGCTTGTCATAAGCCACAACCTTCCAGAGAAAATATAATGAGTTGCCACCTGCGGGCATGCAGAGGTGGTGCTTTGTTTTTAAACAGGAGTGGATTTGAAGCAGGAAAACACCCAGACAAACACTTTAAAAATCAAAACCCCACATCCCCTGCACATCCTTCCCCACAATTAAACAGTGAATAAATAACATGCTGGCATGTTCAGCTTGCTCAAACCGGCAGGATAAACACTCTGATTCCGAGTCTGAATCTGTTTCTGGACTCCGTAAACACCTGTTACACTCCCAGGGCACGATATCCACCTTGACCTTCTTCTCCGTTCTGCCCACTAAGCCCCTCCAGCCACCTCACTCCTCCTCCTCCACCGCTCCAGCTATCTCCTTCATTCCAGCCCATGCCAAAGCTCAACTCTGCCCTGAGGCCAAATCCACCGCTCTTCACTGTCCAAATCCCTCTGCCATGTGAGTCAAATAACAGCAAGGCCCTGATAATAGCACTGGAACATGCCCTTCTCTCTCTATTCCCTTTATGTTGCCATCAACAATCTGCCCTCTCTTTCCTTCCCTCTCTACATCATTTTCTGTCTGTATTTTCCCCTTCAAAATGTCTAAATGTCCTATTTCCTCTGTTGTTTAATTATTATTAAGTGTCTCATTAGCTTAATACAGCTGTTTTCAGGTTGTCTCAGTTTTTGTTGCTTCATTACAGGATGGAAGACAGCCCAAGCATTTCACTGTTACTCTGATGAGACATTGATTGACAATAACTTGTAATAGCGTAATGTATAACAGCAACCAGTCTAATAAATCTAGTGTTTATAGCTGTCCCCTCGTACATTCCCCCCTGCATACTCCACGCATCTCTCTTCTTGTTTATCCCTCCTTGCACTCCCTGCTCACTCCCTCGCTCACCATAAATCTCTCATTCACAAATAGAGGCCAAAAGAGGCTCAGCTGATGTGATGAGATTATTTTTTTTCTGATTACAAATCAACTTCAGCTTAGATAGCTAGAAAAAACACAGCCGCTGCCCCTCCACCCTCCTGTTAGATCCTCTTTCCTCTCCTCCCCTATTTGCTCTGGCCCCTCCCCTCTCTCATGATATCTCCTCCTTCTGTGGAACTTGGCCCCGCCCCTCCCCTCCACCCCCTCCCCACCCACTTCTCTCCCCCAAAGCCACATCTGAGGACGTGCTTCATTCACTTCAGCTGCACAGGTTGTAAAGGAAGGGGAGAAAGAGGGAGAACAGGAGAGGTAGAGGAGAATACTAGCAACTGCTGGTGAGGGAAAGAGGACAGGAGGTTATCAAGAGAGATTGTGTTCAGTTTAGTGTTTTTCTAAGTGAAGGAGGGCATCAGGGTGTGAAGGAGTGAGGCAGGAGAGAGGAGACAAGTCGTCAGGAGTGGGGCTACCCAGCAGTGGGAGGTTCCTCCAGGGAGGTTATAGTGATCTTCAGCAAGACCTCTCCTCCACTGGGAGTTAGACACCCAGGATCCAGAGCCATGGATCCCTCTGTGTCGACCGAAGTTGAGGGGGAGCCCAAGGAGAGGAAGAAGATCCATTTTGCTATGCCGACCACTGTCCCCACCAATCTGGACCCTCGGCAAGTGGAGATGGTGAGCAGGCGGTGGACAGATTGGTGTTTAACCCAGGGAAAAATCTATTTTAGGTTTCTGAGGATTCTGTTTTAGCTTTAGCTCTGACTTGTTTTTGTGTTTGATTTACATTTTAAAGGTTTAACAGCTGAAGGTCCTATTGATTAATTTCCCCTCTGCCTTCCACATTGCTTAGTGCAACTACGAAGGGCTGTACCATTACTGGCCAAATGTCTCCACTTTAAGATATCTTCACTCTGCATCAACCTTTCTGGCTGCTCCCTGTCATTTCTGAAGTTGCTCATATTTGCTGTCTGCCACACGTTTGAGAAACTATGATGACATTTCCCTCTCGCTGTTTCCTCATGAGATTAGTGCCTTGCTGTCTCATCTTGACCTGTTTAAAATGTGACATTGACACAAAAGTCATTATCTAGCAGATGAAGCTCTTTTGAAACAGAGCAGCAACATCAAACCCTTGACATAGTTGATGGCGCAGCTGCCAGTGTTAATAATTACTTTATTTTGTCTTTGTCTGCTGTCCCTCTCCCTGCATGTTAGTGACCTCTGTCATCTGAGCTTTTGTTGGAACAATGAATGCTTCTATCTCGCTTTGCCACCGAAATGTCTTATGACTGATTCAGCATGGCCTGCATCATTTTGTGAAATTGTTTATGTTCATTTGTGACAGGACTCCAATAAGTGCCGCTTATTTCAGAGCAGGGAGAAAGTGGACCAAAGTAGGAACTGTTTGGTGCCGAGGTAGATCGAGGCCAACGGCTCATTCCTCCCGAGAGCTCGAGGAGAGATGGGGCAGGAAAGCGAGAGAGAGATGTGCCAGATGTGCTAGGCTATATGAAGTAAAGCAGAGAGAGAAAGACACACAACCTAATCTCTGGGTTCACCTGTCTCTGGCGTCAGCTCCCTCAGTAACTGTCCTTGTTTCACAGCTTGTATTGAATATAGAGGCTTTTGATGAACTCGAGTGGCCTGCCACCATTCACCTGACTGATTATCATGCATTCGAATTTTGTTTGCAAGAGAGTATGGTAATTGCACTTTTCCAAAAGCAAATCTTTTTTTCATGCTTTTCTTGAATCAAGTGTGACTTTCTTGCCTTACACCACCAGCTTTTATGAAAGTTATTTACAAAACAAGTTATCATGTCACATTCTCGTTTACGACACTAATAATGAATTATAGACTAAATGACTTGCTAAAGAGAAATGTTTTGCAACACTTCAGAAGACGTCTACTAACATTTATACACTTGCTCTCCTCCTCCCCCTCTTATTTTCTCTACATCTCACCCTGCCATCACGATCTGATCCTTATCACTGCTTCCAAGAAACCACAGGATATCAATGTACCATATGTGAGCTTCATATACTTAAAAAAAATGTATCTCACTCCCGTCTGTTTTGGGGAGGACCTTATTGCTCAATCACCTTATGGTCAAACAGCGATTGGCTATACATAGGCTCGTTGGCTGGCTCTCCTCCAGCAGGCCGGCCCTGGCCTTTACCCTCAAGTTGTGTGTGTGTGTGTGTGTGTGTGTGTGTGTGTGTGTGTGTGTGTGT